AATATATTGGACAAATATATTTGGACAAATGGGAGCATCATCAAGAGATAAGACTTAAGTATTAGGGGGGGAAAAGGTATTTTTATGGGCTTATTTTATTTCTCATTTTCCTGCTCTGATTTTGTTTGTAATAAATTCACTTAATATTTCTAAACTGAGCCTGTTTTGCCCTTGGAGTGTTTTTTCCTGGTCCTTATCTCAACTCATGAACCCTTCATTAAATTTTCTCTCCTCTGCCCGGGTGCAGCAGGGGAGGGTGAGTGAGTAGCTTTCATGGATGCCTGGCATTTGGCCAGTGTCAAACTACAACATCCCCGTAGGGTTAAATGCTGACAATGACACCCAACGGTTGGAGATATCCCTTGGGTTAATTAAGTTTGGCTATCCTCACTACGCCCTCTCCCAAATCGTTGTGCCCCCTGGACTGCTCACCATCAGAGCATGAGAAGCTGAAAAGCCTTTGACTTAGGTTCAGCACTATCCAGCAACAGCTAAAAATGTCTGTTCATTATCAATGTTATCCTCCTCCTAAACCCAAAACACGGCATTGTACCAGCTCTTGGGAAGAAATAAACTCGATCCCAGCCCAAACCAGGACAATAATGAATGTAAATTGAGTTTAGATTCCAAAAGAAAATGGACTGAAGTTAGTATACATCTCTAGGAATAAAAAAGCAAGCATGCTTTCAAGACTGACAGATACCCATGACATTATACAACCTGGCTGAGTGAATGCAAGCAAGCAAGACAAACCTTCTGGCCCTGCATTTATCTGTGCAAAGGCTTCCACCAGCTTGGCACACAACCTGTGCTTCTGTTCATCCACACAGCTCCTTTATCTGTTAATCCTTGTTTTTGTCTTCAAGAGGGGCAATTGTGGGAATCCTTAAAATCAGAGAGTTTTGGGAAAGCTGCAAAAGACAGGCCTCAGAGACAGCAAACCTGCAATTAGAGCTAAGCAATAGCCATAAGATTTGTCAGCAGAAAAATTATATAAGAAGTAAGGACAAAAAGAACAATGTTCTGTGTATTAACGCTTGGCCAGAATAACTCCCTAAGCTACAGAAAAGTATATCTAACATGACATTAGGAAGCTCTAAGCTTGATAATGGAGCTCTGTGCATTATATTTTAAGGTTTACGAACAAGTATTATATTTGAAATAAGCAAGCATTGTTTTAACAAAAGGTGTGTGTGCTTATAGTAGCTGGATAGAACTACTGGACAATATGGTTTTGTTTTGTGTGATTAGTCAAAAAACCTTTGACTAGGTCTTGGTCTGCTGCTGGGGACGTGAGCTGCTGGCATCTGCCCATTGTCATAACCATGTAATGAGACTGGTGCTGGAAAATAAACAACTCAAAACGCGTTCCTCAGTAGTCTTGTCCCATTCGTGATCTGTACATAGATCCCCAGCCAGCAATACTGAGGTTAGGTGGAAATAGATTTCCAGCAATGTTAGTAAAAAAATTAGAGATATAGTTGTAGCAGTTTGATTTAAAAAAAAAAAAAAAAAAAAGGCATACATGATTCCTATTTCTTGCCTGTTTTCTTATTCCTATCAGTAAATGTTATGCATTTACAGCAAGGAATATTAGTAAAAACAGTCAGGATGGTAGCCTATGAAGAAGAACCTTATTTCACACATCACAGCTTGTAAGACGATGTGAATCAAATCAGTGATCTTTAACTTAAAAAGAATGAACAAGACATCCTAATTACTTCTTGTCTTTTCACAGCATCAATTTTGTCATCAAGGGGAGAAGATAGTTACACACAGAGAATGTGTTTTTGAGCAGTGGGAGTTGGGGTATTACAGGATACTTCTGTAGTCATTCCTGAATTTAAAACTCAAGGAATGCAAAGGCAAATAAATGTTTCAATTCTTCAGCCATTGCACTTTATGACTATGACTAGTGATTTTAAAAAAGTCATGCTATCCATTAGCAAAACTGCTATAAATATGCCTCCTCATAACAGCTCTTCCCTCTTCTATCCATTCTTTGTTTTGATCAAATTCCAGGCAGAAGCCAAATTCTTGGGGAGAAGTTTGTATTGAAACAAGAAAACAAGGAAAATCAGAGAACACATGATACTGCAGCACTTCAGGTACACATGAGCTACAACCCTCAGCTGCTCCACCAACAGTTTTAGCTGATTTCCAAGTGATACCTGATATTTAGCAGATTCAAATTTCAGCATGCAGAAACCAACGTTGCAGCTGGGAATACTGAAAGTATTTAAGTGCAGATGTGAATCTTTAAGTACCAATTTATTAGAAAAACAGGTTAGCTCTGCTTTTACCAACACAAATCTTTAATTCATGTGCCAGTCACACACTACATATGAGAACTCCTGCACAGGCAAGGAGGAATGGCATCACCATTCACACTTCAGTACTAGCAGTTAATGGATAGAGTATAGCTGCCTATAGCACAGGCATAATCAAGGGTATCCCAGAACCTGTTGTGGACCCTGACACACTGACCCCATACAGGTCCCATTCTCACCATCTGGTTCAGTGTGGTGCTCACTGCAAGCATGCAGCACCTGCCCACCGGCCCATGGGCACACTCCAGGCTTCTGTGTCTCCCTTAAAATCAGAACCCACCCTCTGCCCATGGGACATCCCTGCTCAGACCTGAGGCTTCCCACTTTCTTGCCAGTCCAGTTTCTCGTTTGCTGGGGAATATATGTACAGACCTGGGTTGGGGAGGGCAAAGCCAGCACCAGGGCTGAGACTTCTGTGCATTGCCCCATCAGCTGGCACCATTGCACCAGCATTCTCAACACCCCAGACCTTCAAGATTCCTGCCTCACTAGGAGCAAAGTTCTGTTTTGATGCAGTTTCCCCAGAGACCCTGCATTTGCTGTGATTGACAGGGTTGTTTTGTTGTCTTTCTGTCACAGACTAGACATAAAATGTGTCAAGTTGAAAGGAATCATAATCAAGTCCTGGTCCTCTTGCAGGACTGCCTGTCAGATTTGCATCCCTCTATTTTAATTCCTGACTTTTCCTTTCCCTTTCCTGATTTTTCCTTAGTATCCCATTTGACCAAGTCCTTGATTAGATAACCTTTCCAAAGTGAACATGATCATGCTCTTACCAATTAATGTGCCCAACCACCCCTGGCTCTCATTACTACCTCTCTTACCATCCTTCTGCTGGATTTGTCCTTGTTTATGTTGTCCCGCTTTCCCTACTAGTCTCTTCTGCATCTAAAATGTTCTTAACCAGAAACATTTCAAGGAGCAGCAGTTCTCTCTTTGCTCTCCTTCCTTCCCAACATTTCTTTTTCTTGAAATCTGCTAAAAATGTTCCTGTGCTTTACTTGTCTATAAAGCAGAACCAGACAACCTAGCATTGAAAACAAAATTGATGGATGTTTCTATCTTGATGCAGACAAAATAACCCTCCAGTTCCTGAGGTAATGGTTATGGAGAACAAGCGGACAGCTGTCATTAGCAGCCAAATCTCATGTCTGTCATTGCAAGCTTCCAGCAATGCTCAGCCCTCTCACCCACCCTTGGTGGATGTGCCTCGGGCTTTAGTTAAGGGGCAATAACGTGGGGTTTACATGTAGCAAATGGCAGTCAACTCATGTTTAATAAAAAGCTTCAGCACACTGTCAACTTGTCTAGGTATTACTGAATGTCATCGCATAGAGAAAGACTTCAACATGTGTCTTCCTGCTGCTGCTAGGGATTGGGCTGATGTGGTTTCTGCTGTAGCACAACTAAAGGCAGAATTAAACACTTCACAAAACACCTAGCACAGGCATAGGGAGAGATCTGTTTTTAAGATATGATAGCAACTCCCCAGGAAACTATTAGATGTTCTTGCGAAGAGATATATGGAATAAGTAAATAGACTCCACAACTCGATGTAGTTATGAAGTGGGTATGTATGTCAGCGACAGGCACAAGTGAGATAGCTCTCCAAAAACTTGTGCCCCGAGCTGCCATCTGTCCCACATCTTTATTCACAAAGGTGTTCAATATGCAATACATTGCTATGCATATTCAACCTCTGGCCCTGCCTGTCCTCGCCTCTCATGCTAAATAGGTCCACACCCTTCTGGGCATGCGTGGTTTGTTGTGGTGGTCCTGTGGGGGTCCCTGGTGGTCTTCTGAGGCTGAAGATTGTAGTCTTCCTCGGGATTGAATTTTTGAACTTTTCCCCTCTGCGCATGTCCTTTTAGTCCTTTGGGGTCTTATCTGAGTATGTCTGTTAGCCTTGACATGACTGAAGACAGAGGGGGTGTCCTTATCTGAGTTCTTTTCCTTCCCAGAAACAGATAGGCCTTTGTCTGGGTTCTTTGCATTCCCTGGTCTTCCCTGGTATTGTCTTTTATGCAGGAAGCTCCAAAGATTTACGTTTCCCTATGTCCCTTGTACCATGGCAGAGGTTTCTTTCATGATACATTCATTTTGTTAGCTCAAGTGAACTCCAAAAAATCTCTATTTCACTTGCTTTGTTCTGCTTATTTCTAGTTCTATTTCTGGTGCTTAAGTTCTCTTAAAGGTGTCACTGAATTCCTTGCAGACAGTTGGCTGACAAATGCCTTCTCCATTAAGAACAGTTCAAAGGTGGTGGTGTTCTTCAGAGATCCTCCTAGCATCACGTTAACACAAGAGCATGAGAAAGTGCACAGGCTTGTTAAGTAGCACTAAGGCTTCATAACAAGATAGTGCAATGCTTTATATGGGATCAGCTTAAATCCTAGCACTCTTGACTTCACATTTACTAAAGCCCATCCTATTTGGTACAACATTGAACATAAAGTGTAATTCTGGGAACCACAGCTGTGACTTAGTTAATGATCTCCATAAATCCTACTTAAGCAGAGACAGGAAGAGAATTATGCAAATGACTATTACTGTGCACCATGCACTTGGTAACTGAAGATATCCCACAATAAGCTTCAGCACATAAAACCAGTACTTTTTAAACCCAGATATGTGAAAAGTATGTAAGCAAGGGAAGGACTTACAGAATTCTGCTTCAGAAAAGTTGTAGTTGCAGAACATTTATTACAAACCTAGTATTAATGGAAGCATACAGAAGGAAAATGTACAAGGAGGGATGGTTAAAAATCCAAGATGACAGATTTTTCACATATAGCTGTGACCGTGAGAAAGAATTACTTGTCTGAAAAGACCTTTCTAAAACATCGTGATAAAAGACTGCCACTCACACTTGGCAGCTAGATAAGATGTCTTCTATCAGTCTCTTATAGACCCAGGCATCTCCTTTAAGCCGTTGTCGCCGGATACCCACTGCTTCAGGCTTAGTGAGCTGACATACTTCTAACTCAAACTCCATAGTTACTTTACCAAAATCTGACCGTGTTTGACATTTCAGGGTATAACTGTAAAACAGAAGGGAAAACAGAATAATTATTGAACCATTTCATATTTGTTTTGCAATGCTATTTTGAATTAATAGAAGCACTTTAAATAAAATACCCCATTGCTGTTCAGAATATTGTGAAACAGTCCATAATTTAGTAACCTGAGACCTTTGTAAATACTGTGGTTTCAGGGCACCGTATTTATTATTATTATGCCCTAGGACCAATATGTAACACCAATATCCTATACTACCACGAGAACCCCTGCGTGCCAAAGGCCCCTATCTTCAGAGCTGGAATGAAGGAAAGTTCCTATATTTTTCCTAGACAAGAACACTCTTCTCTCTGTTGGTTGCAGCTCAGCTGGTGTGAAAAATAGGGAAAACTGAATGCAGAGTTTGAATTATTACAATGGGAGCAGGTGCTGCTGTGCAATCTAGCATCCTTCCATATTATGAGTTTGGAAATCCATCAGAGGTTGATGTATAACTCTGATGTTCTACCAATACCTAACACTGAAATATTCAAGAACTTGAGAAAAATGCATATTGAAAAGTGAGCACAATGGGTTTTTTTCATGCATTGGGAGCTCAGGAAATAGTCTTTCAGTTTGATCAAAAGTAAGAACCAATCTAACCAATCAGTAGCTTAGTGTAGCTAGTAAACAGTACAAATTCAAACAATCCACAAAAAGGTATGTGGCTTCTGCACACCTTTTAAAATGTACTGACCTCTTGACTAAAGGTTAATGTCTTTTAACTGCCAAGAATGAGAATTAAAAAGTATCTACACTATTTTCCAAAATTATCCCATTTGTTCATGTGACTGTACCCAAAACAATTTTGGTATTTAAAATTTCACATGAGACAGGCTGATGTGATTTTTTTCATAAGCATTACCCTACTACTATTGGTTTATACCTGTTAGTGAAAGAGCTCTGCTAAAGCATACTTAACATAGTTTTGTGCTATGTGGGCATGTTTTATTGCACACATTTATTTAGTGCTTTGTACACTTTCTGTAAAATTATTTTACAATAAGCTCAAGAAACTAAGTTTAAATAATTTGCTTTTTAAGAACTGGACTAGCAACCATTTAGACAAATACAAGTTGAACTAATCATATTGTAGACTTACCCCTTCTGAACATATTCCACATGCTTCTTTGAAAGAACAATGATTATTTCATTCAACAGTTTGTCTGGATTCAGCAGATGAGTGGTGGTAATGTTACAGTGTGCCTAAAAGTAATATTAAAAGTAAAAGCAGCTTGTTAAAAAAAGGAATAATAAAAAAAAATCTCCTAAAACTGAAGACATTGCAAAAAGTTTTCACTAAGGAAGTTTCAGAACAAATAACAATGGTGACAAATGCTTCGACATCCCAAAACTATCACCCTGCTGTATGGTCCAGAGCTGGGAAATGGCCGAAAGCTGAGACAGAGTACTTCTGATAACAAGGAGCAAGCAATGCACCAGGCAACTATTAATGTAAAAATAGGTTACTTACTGCTTTTAAATTATAGGTCGTTATAGGTGGTTTTAATCACACCTAGTATTTCATATAACAATTTTGTGCACCTCTTGAACAACAAGCAGATGCCTGGAGGTATTGGGAAGAAGCGTATGACAATAGTAACATACCAACATATATCTGGTTTCTAAAGTCACAGAAGCAGCCAAGAGAAGACAAGAATGAAAAAAAGCTTGAAAAAATTAACATAGGTTGAGGATGTAAAGTCAGTAGAAGAGTGCTTCTTGTGGTCCTTATTTGGATTTAAATGTATGCAACTCTCTGACATAACTGCTGTAACACTGTCTTGCCATACCATAGTCCAGTGTCTCTAGACATGCATCAGGAATTTTGCATAGACTATAGACAAGAGAAACTGAGGCAGAAGACTAAAGGCATTTAAGAGAAAGAATATCTAGCTTGCAGTTGCTCAGGTTCCTGGATTATTTGCACAGTCTAGACTCCTGTCTGATTGGCTGGTCAGGTTTGTAGTCCAATATCTTGTCCTGAACATGCATGACTGACACAGATCTCTGGGTAGTAGGTATCCTAACAGCCAGTCAGTTGAAGGGACACATTGGCTTCTACACAACTGCTTATACCTTGATAAACAACCTGCCCTCTTTCATGGTAATTAGCTTTTTCAAACATGTTGCCTAAAGATTCAAGTATAAACTTTTTTTTGCATAGCTTGTGAAGTATATAAGTTTCATTTGAACGATATATACAGAATCACTAGGGCTGGAAGGGACCTCTGGAGACCATACAATCCAATCCCCTTGTCAAGTCAGGGTCCCCTAAAGCAGGTTTCACAGGAATGTATCCAGGTGGGCTTACAATGTCTTCTCAGTGGGAGATTCCATGACCACCCTGGGCAGCTTGTTTCAGTGCACTGCTACCCTCCATGTAAAGAAGCTCTTCTTCACACTGAGGTTGAACATGAGGTTATTTTATGGCCGCTGCTGCTCAGCCTGTCACTGTGCACCACTGAAGAGAGTCTGGCACCATCCTTTTGTTAGTGTTCCGGAACACACATAATCACGGAATATGATTATATGCAGGTGCTTTTATTGAGAGCTCTGGGAATCAGGGACACAGACCTAAATCTGACTCCAACATGGCTTTTGAGCTGAACATATTTTATATTCTATCGTTATGTAACTTAGATATTAATTATTAAACTTATATTGTTCTATTGCATACATTGACTTTATTAAAGCATGAGTTTCTCATTATCTTTCTTAGGCCCCAACTATAGTTTCTCATGATTATTCTTATGATTAAACAGTAATTATATTTAATTACTAAACAATCATCACATCTAACAATTATATAATTTATCATGTACAGGTGCAGTTCTAGCAAGTACAAGTTCTCCAGGTGCTTAGAGTGTTTATTTTTATTAATCATCTTTATGGCCTCCACTGGACCCTCTACAGCAACTCCCTGTCTTTCTTGAATCTGGAGCCCATGACTGAACACAGCACTCCAGATCTGGCCTCACCTGGACATGGCAGAGAGGCAGGATCCCCTCCCTATCTTGTCCATGCTCTTCCTGATGCATTCCAGGATCCCACTGGCCCTTCTGGTCCCCAGGACACTCTGTCAGCTCATGGTCAACTTGCCATCCACCAGCACCCTGACGTCCTTCTCCACAGAGTTGGACTCTTGTAGGTCATTCCTAATCTCTTCTGGTACTTGGGGTTATTCCTCCCCAGCCACAGGACCTGTAGCTGCCCTTGTTGAACCTCCTTAGGTTTCTCTCTGCCCAACTTTCCAGCCTATCAAGTTCCCACCTGACTGACATCATAGCCTCCAAGGGGATCAGCCAGATCGCCAGCTTAAAGACAGGCAAAGAAAGCATTCAGTAATTCTTCCTTCTCTGTATCTCTCATTACCAGGACACCCATCCGATTCAACAACATTCTCCTATTTTCCCTAATCTTACTTTTGCTGATGATGTACTTATAGAATACATTTTTGTTTTCATTGATGTCCCTTGCCAGGCTCAAATCCAAGTGGGCTTTAACTTTCCTAGTTGCATTCCTGCATATTCTGACAATGTTCCTAGCCTTCCTACATGGCCTGTCCCTTTTTCCCTATTTTATAAATTTCTTTCTTCCTTTTGAGGTTTGCTAGAAGCTCCCTGCTCAGTCATGCAGATCTCCTGCTCCCTGTGCCTAACTTCTTTGTCACAGGAATATGCTGGATTTGAGCTTGGAAGTGTTGCTTGAACACTGACCTGCTTTCTTGGACTCCCTTCTCTTCTGAAGCCCCATCCCATGGGATTCCTCTAAGTAGATCTTTGAAGAAGTTGGAGTTAATTCTCTAGAAGTTTAGAGTTCTAGTCCTGCTACTCTGTTTTCACCACACAGATCCCATGTTCCATTATCTCATGGTTACTAAAATGAAGGTCACTACAGCCTTCACATCTTCACTCAGTCCCTCCTGGTTCATTAGTACAAGGTCCAGCAACACATCTTTCTTTTGTTGGCTCTTCCACCACTTGTGTCAAAAAGTTGTCTTTAATAATGTGTAAGAACTTCCTGGACTGTGTGTGCTGTGCTCTGTTGCTCCCTCAAGCAAATATCAGGATGGTCGAAGTCCCCTATGAGAACCAGGGCCTGTAATCATGAGACATCTGTCCACAGAAAGTGTCATCAACTTCCTCCCTCTAATCAGGTGGATTATAGTGAACACCTGCAACAGTGTCACCTTTCCCTTAAATTCTCGCCTCACTCACCTGACCCTGGGTAGAGCTCAGTATGTTACAGTTGGTTTTCTTACATAATGAGCAACTACCTCATCAAACTGACCTGGCCATCCCTGACAACATTTCAGTCACATAAGCTATCCCATTGCATTGAGATCATGGCCCTGTGACCACATATAGATTTTTACTTCTTGTTTATTCCCCATACATGTTTGTCTCCAGGCATTTCATGCACATAATCAAGCAACTGGGTTGCACAGAGTGGGTGTAAGAGCAATCAAAACAGCAACACACACTCTTAGCATGGTTTGCCCTTTGATCCTCATCTTGAGAGGCAGCCAAGAAACATCTGTCACTACATTGGTTGGTATGGCCTAATCACCAATGACCTAATCAAGAAGGAAGCAATGGCACAAGCATCACCATTTTGAACCCCTCTCCTGAGTCCTTCAGTCTGAAGTTAGTCTCTCCAAATTGGCCAGGGGGCTACCAAAGATTCTCTTGCCTGCTTTAGACAGGTGGATCCATCCCATCTCTGCTTAACAGGCTACAATCATCCAAGTACAACCCATTGTTATAAAAGACAAAACCTTCTCAATGGCACAGCCATGAAGCCAGATGTTGATCTGCACTATACATTTACTTCTGGCTTCCCTTTTTCTCTCACTATGAAAAGATGACTTGGACATTCATATTTTTACCTGCCTCACCAGGTGTTAACAGTCTTCCTTGATCCTGTCTGTTGTTTGGCTTGCAGCATTATTTGTTACCCACGTGATAACATAGTAGCAGGTAGCTGTCATGCTTTTGAGAAGTTGGGGTACCTTCTCAGCAACATCATGGATTCTAGCACCTGGAAGGCAGCAAACTTCTTGTGACTCTTTATCAGGCCAGCAGATGGATGTCTCTGTGCCCTTTAACAGTCGCCCACTGCAAGTACTCAATGTTTCTTTTTATGGGAACCTTGCTTGTGGACATCTAAAACCTTTAAAGCACCATATGTGTTTTCAGTCTGAATGCTGGAGCATGGAAGTTAAATTGGAGCACTGTTTTTGTGGGTCACAAGGGGCTCAAGGCGTCTCCTGCTCAGTGGTATCCATTGTAGGTGGATAGTTCTGAAGCCACAGCTATGTCCATTTCAGCCCCTCAGTTCAGCACAGCCTGTTAACTGTCTCTTGTTATTCACCCATTTATCACAACAGGCCATCAACCTGTGTGCACATTGTGCCTTTTCTCCTTCTACTGGAGAAAGCAACGTCTATACAAATACCATGATTAAAAACTGGCCAGCTGGGTTCCTTTCAAACCATGCTGCTTCCTTCACATTTGGTTTAGATGGGCTATAAGTAGCAAGGGCCAAACTCCTCCCTGGATCTGTTGCCTGAACCCAGACTAACAGATAACTGAATGTGGTAACTGGGCACTGTCTTGTTATCAGTAATAAGTAAGAGCAATAAGTAAGAGCACTTTACTGTAGAATTCAGGCAAGACAGGTCACAGAATCTTTTACAAAACCATTTCTGAAGCTACTGGATGTTTTCAATCATAATTACTGTAAGATAATAATTAACATATAACTAATATAATTACTTAATATTTTAATAATACTTGCTTTATATAAGACCTTTGCAGCAACCATACCTTAAGTTTCCTTGGACAGTTTCTAGTGCATCGTTTTTTCTTGCTTGGTGTGAGCATTGTGATCACTTTATCTAGGCCTCTTTCAAGACTTCCAAATATTTTGGCTTTTCTCTTCTTTTGGCTGCTATCCACATGTGCAAGGTCAAGATCTAATTCCACTGACTGACACCTGTTACATGAACAAATTAATCTGTTATTTTTCCCTGTTATTTTCAAAGATGTCACTAAAATATTACCAGACATGACATAACAAAGAAAATGGAATCAAATACAATGTATTATAGGAGTTTCTGTTTGAAAGTCTGTTGAAGTTTAAACCAAGAGATGTGTCTAGAAATTGCAGTTCTTTGGAGACCTGGAATAAGAAGGCACCTACATTATGAAAAATAGATTATATTGAGTTACATAGTTTTAAAACTTTTCTCTACCTTCATTATTTTCCAGTGGCTGTAAAAAGAGGTTCTAGAAAAGTTTTTACCAAAAGAACAGGAACAGCAGCTTGCTGTTGTAACAGGGCTTCCCAGGCAGCCCATGGATTAAGGTAGTCCTGCTCTAAATCAGGAATGTACACTAATAACTGGACACTTACCTTCTTTCAGGAAGAATCTCCGCTGCTGACAATTCATCTGCATTTGTTCGGTTATCGGGTTTCTTAACTGGGGTGACTGCAGTGAACTGACTCTCTGAAAGAAAATGTCCAAGCCAAACCAGGTATGTCTTTGCATAAAAGGATTTTCTTTTCTTCAGTGACAATTTCTTATTATTAAAAACTTACTTCTAACACCAGACCCTCTCTTCTATCTCAGGTCTATATTTTGAGAATTATAAAATATGTTTTAATACTACCTCTACTCTACAAATTAAAATTGTGACTGATTTCCCTGGGGCTCTAAAAGTCAAACATTAAGAGTAACCATTGCAGTTCAATACTAGAAATTTGAAGACTAGAATTGCTTTCTTGCTCTGCTTCTGGTCCATGAATAAATACGGAGCAATCCACTACATTGAGTAGTTGTGTTCTTCAATGATCCATTTCCCTTATATGAAGAGTGTAAGTTTATATAGTCATGTTTAATATACAATGTACGTGCTACACAATAGTCTAGAAAGTCAGCGTCTTGCAGAGCATGGTTTTAAAGGCAGAGGACAAAACACCAAGGGGAAACTGTCAGCAAATAAGTTGTCACAATTAAACCCAACTTCAATGTTCAAAGTTTCAGCTCTCTACAGAATTGCATCTGGCTCCACACAAACAACCTCAAAATTTCCAGTGGATTCTTCCACTTTTCTATTTCCTGAATCAAAGATCTTTCAATGCAGCAAAGACTTAACTTTCTTTTTTTAATCCTCAGAAATGTCACTAAAGAAATGAGTAAGAAATGTTTTTACATTTCCCATTTTGGATAGTATCTGTTTTGTTTTTAGACATACACAGATGTCAGACATTACAAGTTATGTATAATCTTAAGGCAAACTCATAACTAATTTTTGTATTGCTATTCTTTATGAATGATCTCATTAAATAGCAGTATGTTCAAAATCCCTTATTCCTTGAATCAGCCTGCAAACATTTACTGTTCCTGAACAATGCTCCTTAGCACCTGAAATGAAAGTCTTCTACTGATAGTAAAAGGGTTTTAAAATCATGGGTATTTAGGGTTAAAAGGAAAATTAAGCTTAGTAGGCCCTGAAAAAAAAATAAATACCCTAGGTACATGAAGGCCTTGTACCTTGCTAGAACTGTACCTGTGTAGCTAGTACATGATAAATTATATAATTGTTAGATGTGATGATTGTTTAGTAATTAAATATAATTACTGTTTAATCATAAGAATAATCATGAGAAACTATGGTCGGGACCTAAGAAAGATCACGAGAAACTCATGCTTTAATAAAGTCAATGTATGCAATAGAACAATATAAGTTTAATAATTAATATCTAAGTTATATAACGATAGAATATAAAATACGTTCAGTCAAAAGCCATGTCGGAGTCAGATTTGGGTCTGTACCCCTGATTCCCAGAGCTCTCAATAAAAGCACCTGCATATAATCATATCCTGTGATTATGTGTGTTCCTGAACGCTAACACTGTTCCAAGGAGCCTTTGGCATTTGAAGGACAGAGTTAGCATTTACAGTATCAACACCAAAACTTTAATGGTACTCATTGAATGAAATGGTAATGAACATATGGGATATGTACATGAGTAGACAGGCTGATGACAGAAAATTCTGGTAACTCAGAAAATCTGACATAATTTATAGATTTCTGTGGTCTTTTGCATAGCTGCAAGACCTGCATGTTGTTAACAGAAGCTTTTTCACTGGTGTATTGGACTGCCCCTGTGAAAATGCTGATATGCAACCATAAGAAATCCAAAAGCTAGATTTCTCTTAGAGCCAACAATTAAAGCAGACTTAACTAAAATCGTGCTTTTATTTTCATTCAGGATAATCACAAACATAAAACAGAGTGTTGAGGAAACTGCAATCTCAATGAAAAAGTGGAACCAGGTGCAAGCTTTAACAACACAGTGCTTGGCTTCATGTTAGGGTATACCAAAAGGGTCTCACACATGATAATTGCAGCAGCAACACAAGTAACATGCCCTGATGGATGGTTAAAACTCTTGCAACACCGTACCAGATGTACTAGAAGAAACTGGGTGGTGCATAGGACAAAAAATTGAAGTGTTTCAGAAATCAATGTATTGGATGAAGAAATATTGTGCTTATATTTGGATTTCAGTGATTCCCAAGCACCATATATGTTCTAAACTTTCATTAGTTACAGTCTACATACCTTTGAAAGCAGATGCCCCAAGGGGAACAGCTTGTACCTCTGTCTCAATCTGACTTTTTGCAAGAGGAGTCTTAGGAAGCACAAAGGGCATTTCATATCTTAAAGCTGACACTGTCTCAACATTCTCTTTGTCTTTATGCTTCTTTGATGCCACTTTTCTTGTCACTGGAGTTGACAGTTTGAGTTCCATATCCTCCGGTTGGGCATCAGGCCTCGAATGCTACAAGAGGTATAAAAAAAGAAAAAAGCCATCCTTTGCTGTATTCTGATCACATTCAGGAACATTACAAACACGGAAATTCTGAAGCTGGGTAAAAATATAATACAATGCTTAAGTACAGAGCAATAGTTAAAAACTCTTCAATACTTCTGATTCCCTCTACAACTTGCTCATAAGGTTTGCAAGTAATTTGCCACTTCTTTACCAGTTCTTCTAAATTCTTTAGCTTGCACATTTAAGGCTATTCTTCACCAGCTCACCTAAACACAACTAGGAATTTCCATTTGGCTTAATTGTAAAATTTTAATTTGTTCATTTGATTTTCTTGTCCAATATGGTTGCACTTCTTCAGAAACTTGTCCAGTTTTAGCCTAGGTCTGAGGCATTGTTTGTTGCACCTTATTTTTTTCCTGATGGTTTTAAAATCCTTATTTACTCATTTTCTATATGATCAAAGCTCAAGTTTTAGTCAAATTGCCTACAGCTAGAGGAAGGCACAATGTATGTTCAGCTATATATTTAAAACACTCCTTTACTCCACTTGTAACTGCACTAGGCCAAGATCTACCAAACATTTACATATTCAGTCATTTTTATGTACAATGAAAATAAGATCTTTTGGATTAAGGACACTCTATCAAACACCTGCTTCATTCCGTGAGTATTTATACAATTTTTTTCTAGACATTCTTCAAACAGTGAAGCTGTATCTGTAAATTCCATGAATACAAATGCCCACGTCACTTGCAGTCCGGCATATCACAATTTTTTCAGACTGGAAAGAAATACTCAGTTGAGATTCCACTGCACACTTAAAAGTAAGATTTCATCAGAAAAGACTGCCATTAAAGTCTAAATCTGATTTCTTTCTAAGTTCCTAATAATGGAAGTTCCCATGATGGCAACCTAGGTTATATAATATGACTTTAATGTTGTTGTTGTAGATTTGTCATTTGTATCAAAAGTAGATATGAAACTATTCTCAAAGCACCGTTGCCAAATCATCTTTCTTGACCAGTGTCATGAAGAGAATCAACTCACAAAACTAGGCACCTTTGAATTGAAGGCTTGGACCACAACCTCTTTTTACCAAAAGTCCTAGTAATAATATGGAAAGAATCCAAGAGAAGAATGGAGTAACACTTAAAAAGGGGCTGGATAAAGGTAAACACATATATCCAAAACATATGACTACTGAATCCACAACACTGATTGGAACTAGCAGTTGGAACCCTTTATCTGATGGCTAGCTCTGCCTTCCCCAAAAGTTGCCAGTTATTAAATCAAGAGATTTGTAACTTCAGCCAAGGTTGCTAACCTTCATGGTTCACACCACATACAAGCAGTTATATATCCAAGCATCCTTAGTCTCTAACACCTTTTTGTTACTTACAGGAAACTCTTACCAAGGACTTACTTCACACCATTATAGTGAAAATGTACACAGCCATTTTAAATTGTCAGTCTTTGGCTGAAATGGACACGGTTATAAAAAGCTGGAATGGATGACATTTTAGTAACCTATGTTCTGCTGGTGAGTTTCTGTTGCCCCATGATCAAGGATATCACAATGAGCAGATTTCTCATTACTACTGGAATAGAGAACTGTCTGATAAGCTCTAGAGCTTCTATGATGCCTTATTCAAAAGCCCTTACCAGAGGCTTGCTAACCACAAGAAGCTGATAGTGTAGTTGAAATCACATTCCATTAAATATGAATGCTTGATTAGGATGCTTCAGTTATTGTGTTCTAGATGTAATTCATGGCATGGTGACTATTTTGCAATATGCCTCTATATCAAACTGCTTGAAATCAAGCAGTATTACATACAAGCTTGTGCCACCAATTTCAGAAACAGCTAAGTAAAAGGTTCTATTTGCTTGGTTGTCTTCACATTAGATTAGGTCCAGTTAGAGAGCTTTGCAAGCTGTGTGTTTCAGCAAATTCAGTTGATGTTCACCCAGAAGCTACACATAGGCAAGTTAATTGTGTAATGGATTGCTGTATTGCGTAGCCAGGAATTTCACCATCATCTAGGAAGGCATAATGCTTATGTTAATTAGTAGCATTTGCCGATTTACCTTGGACATCACTAGAGATGAAGTAGCTTAACAGTTCAGCAGAACTGAACGTAGTGAACCTCCACCTTAATCATCAGAGTGTGTGGAAATCACATTAGGCAGGAACATGATTTAACAGGAACAGTTATAATTCATTATCTATTATGCAGCTCTAGTAGTCCTAGAATTCTTATATCAAAAAAGCTGTATGGGTGAACTGAAATTATTTACATGCTGAATCAGATACATAAATTATTTATTCTGAGTGCTTGCCTCTAACACTGAAAGCAACACACTCAGACCATTTCACAGATGTTTTGTCTCAAGGGGAAACAACTTACACAAGTCTGCAACTCCTCTGAATGTTTTGGAATTTGTCAAATACACTCATATTGCTGACATCACATATATTTGCATATTATATACAACATTGCAAGGAGTTTAGCAACTCTAGCCACTACCAAACTACAGGAATAGAAATTCCCCTAAGATACACAAAATTACTTCAGTATCCAAATCATCAGAAAAACAGGAACAACACATTTCCTTTACTCAAAGTAAACAGCTTCCTCTCTAGGATTATGTTCTCAAGTGAAACAGATGACAAAGGGATGACTCCCTCTGATTTGATCACCAGGTCCCATAGTGCCTATGTCACTCTCAGAGAACACTGCCGAGGTGACATATCATGAGGTATCAAAAGATTTTCCTTACCAAATGCAACCCTCAAGGTAGAAAAACACATAGTGACAGAGTGCAATTAGTCATCACAGAACAAGATCTGGAATCATCTAGGCCACAAAAGAGGAAATTAGAGCCCATTAATAAAAAAGGATTCTGTGCGACACTTGACGCATCAAATCCTCCCAGATGGCTATTCCAGCAAAGCCAATCCAGAGAAGCAGCCTGTGTACTTCACAAAATATTCCAAGTTGGAAGGGACCCTCAAAGATCACCAAGTCCAACTCTTAAGTGAATGGGCCGTACAAGGATCAAAACCATCTTGGTGTTATTACCACCATGCTCTAACCAGCTGAGCTAAACTCAGGCTCATGGTCTCTTCCTGATGTTTAGAGCACTATAATTTTCTCCAGGCAGAGCTTTGTCAATGCAGAGCAGGATTTTAAACAAGATGTTGTTCTGCTGAACTCAAGTTTACCTCAAGGACGGTTGACATCATGGAACTGGCATGCTCTGTTAGACACGGAAACCTTAAACGAACACGCTTGCCACGAGCCTTCTTGGATAGAAGCAAGAGGTATGTTGCTGACATGTGGTCATATTTCCACTGCAGGGTCAGGGAGAAAGAAAGAAAAAGTATTTTAATCTCCTCTTTGGAAACACTGCAAGTACCAGTCAAGCTCAGCCTTCTGAGTATTTCCATATCTCTACAAGTTTTTTCTACCTGATATGTAACCCTAATTACACATAAATGTAATATCAGGCTTCAAGTGATTTGCATTACGTGCCTGAAATCAAGAAAAAGACACTATATTAGTTGTTCTTTGCAAGCTAGTTTCTAGTTCATGCAGTAGCATGGAAATGCTGGAGTGAAGATGTATCTACTGAAGTGAATGCAAACCCAGTAATATGGTTTATCCAATACTTCAGCAAGAGTATAAATTTCTTGGAAGTAACTCCTGACCATTCTTTCATAACTGCTAACTTTTTGCATAATTTTCAGCAGTTCGGTGTGTGTGAGGAACACAGACACACTTTTGATGGGTTTCCAGCATAGTCAGATTGAATAATTTATAAGGGATTAGAGGTCTTCCAAGAAAGGACTATGCAAATATCACAAACTTATTTGGAAGGACTTTCCCCTCTGTAAACAGGTTATTCTGATTATTTGCTATAAATAAAGAACAAAGAAAATCAACTCCGCAGATCTGTTAAAAGTAACACACACATTTTAAAAGTCTGTTTCTGCTACAGTTACCTGGAAAACCCAAGTGTTTTCAAAAACCCAAAACTGTTGTCACTGCTAGAATGTACAAAGAAGCAGAAAATTCAGTATTAATGAAGAATTTTCAGATTCAGGTAAAAGCTGGAGTACACATCATGCTCTAAGTCTTTTCAACAACCTGCAATTTACTGCTAACATTTGCACAATTCTTCCAGAAGTATTCAGTTCAACTTTTATATTTTGTTGTCAAAAATGACTAAACATACTATTTTTAAAAATCTGTGAATAGTACCTCCAAAAGCCCCTGTATTTTGTAGACTGCCGGGATGTTGTTGATTTTTTTTTCTTATTCTACTTTTTATTGAACAATTTCAAAGCAAAGGGTTAGCCCAGAAAATGGTATCTGTTGTTCAACTATAAATTTCTACAAGTCAGTCCTGACTTTCAGAGATTCAGAAGGATTTTACCATAGTGGTAAGATTTAGGAATCAGTAAGATTTAGGAAACAGGAAGTTCACAATTAGAGGAGAAAAAGAAATAAACAAATTTGAACTTCCAAACCAGTAGCTTGTAGTTGCAAGCTACAGCCAGATTCTAGAGTTCTGCAGGGCCTCTTTAAATCTGAAATGTATGTAAAATGTTGTCATTTGGAATATGTAAGTATTGGTCGGATAACACAGTAAATTTATTTACTCTATTACTGTAGTTAATTACTGTAAATTACTGACATAAACTTCTTACCTCTGTTATTAATTGCAATATAGTCTCCCTGCTCTGCTCATGAAACACAGAAAGCTCTGTTACACAGTCCTCATCAAGATGTCCCAGCTGCAACAACACAATGGATATTGAAGTGTGAGGCTTTCAATTTACCCACTTATCCATATCTGACAGTGACACTGTTGTGAAACCCAGTGGGCCGAGTCAATAGTCAATGATTATTTTAGACCTTGTATTTCAAACATTTAGCATCACAGCTAAATATTGCAGGAAACAGATTGAAAAAGACATACAACTTCAACAACTTTACAGCCTGGAATCTCAAAGCCTTATAAATTCAAATAAGCCACCCAAAAGCAGGTAAGATTTTTACTAGAATAGAAGGTACACTTTAATCTGCCTATAAATACCCAAAGCTACGAGCCATGCCCATCTCTACCTCTCACACTGATGGTGCAAGCACAGTCAAAGTATCTTTATCTAGGGTAATAGTGGCATCTGGTGGCAATAGGAATTTGGCTGCCAACATGCAGAGCTTCTCAGCACCTTTTGCTGACAGACAGATGATTTTGGTTTTTTTACTCTCCATACTGCCTTCACCTCTCACACAAGTAAAACAAGTGACAGAGAGACAGGATGACTATTCTCTCAATGAAATTTTAATTTTCCAAATAAAAATTGAAAAATTTTAAATTTTATTTAATTTCGTTGGAATTTTTGAAAAATCCAATTTTCATTGAAGACTACATACAAGATAAACCATAACCACATCTAGCATGACTTTCATATTATTTGTGTTTTACACATTAAAGAAAGTACTAATCAAGCAGCCTAGGGAAGGAGCTGGTCATTCATATGTGAAAGTACTTCACTTTTTGATGAGAATTCAGTTATTCTGCATATTCAACTGCAGAATACAAGGCAAACACATTTTAAATATCTCCTCAAGAGAAATCAAGACTGATTAATAATATTTTGACCGCTAAAAGAATCAGAAAACAACCACAACCATCTCAAAGTTCATCTTGTAGCAATTTCATACCATGCACTATGAGGATGGTAGTAAGCCACCAAATATTACATGAAATGCTTTAGTATCTATCTGAGCAGAGTACTTACTGGGTATTTACTTTGCCATTGAACAGTATCAGAAAAACCTTCCATGAGCCAAGGGTGACTTAACAGGTGTTGGATTGTAATCCGCTTCTTTGGGTCGACCTGGTGTGCCATAAAAATCAAAGTGATATTTAAATTGTGGAGAAAAAGGGAAGAAACAATTGCCTCTTCCACGCAGAATGTTAGGGTGGTTAGGGACGAAACGAGAAACCAATACTTTTTCAGAGCTTCACAAAAGGAAGCTCACACTCAAAGATCTTAGCTGTGAAGAGCAGTTATAGAACCTACAGCTACAACAGATCTCCCAGGGATATGCAGCATTGGCAATATTCATTAGGTGTAGCCCAGATATATATTTGGGCTATAAAACAACTCTTGTTTTTATATGAAGAAGAACCAAATGTATGCTGTTTGAAGACTTTGTTAAATCATGTAAACTTTGCTAATTATTTTTGAAATCAAACATTTTTCCCAAAGATTTTTTCACTGAAGGCAATAGTAATCTTTTCTTCAAAAAACTTCTTATTTAAAAACAGAATGTTTTTCAAATATTTAATTGATGTAATGCTTTGAACCAATTAAACAGTACTTTATACATCTATTGAACAGAAACAATAACCTTTACCTGCAGCATTTGATCAAGGAGCAATGTACTGCTAGGAGAGAGCCAGTTTGGAGTACTGTATTTTCCTCTCTGCAAAAAAAGAAGAGGATTTAGAACTAACACTGAACCTCAAAAGGGAATACTAAATTACTTGGACAATAGTGACATCTGTGCTTTGTAAAAAAAACAGCAGCAGGAAGCTGTGACATTAGTTTAAAGGATGACTTGCATAAATGTCATGGCAGTACTAAAACCTAGCAGCATTAGTAAGGAAAATGCCGTGTTTGAATCACCAGCTGCAGTTTTCGTCCACTCAGCTTGTATGACACCTCCATCTCCGCCCACTTTTGCAGCTAACCTGCTCCTTTCTCCATTGCCTTGCTTCATCCTATCAACTTAGTGCTGAAGTTCTAGAAGTGCAAACATACTGCATTATGAATGACTGATATTAGCACTTTGCAATGTGAAGATTCCCTGGAATCACTTTTCAGACACTAAAGTTACAGCATCCTCAGTATTAGGATATTCTTTTTTGAATAGGTTAAATCTAATGCTAAACTTTCAATCTCACATAGCAGACAGGAGAAAGGTTACAGATCTAGCAAGTGAGATTTTTTTCAAGATAATTATTCACTGTTGTTTTCCTTTAAGGTTTTGGTTAGAAGAAAATTGAAAAAAACAACTGCCAGATGTGAGGAGTAACAGTACCTAGAAACCAAACCAAATTCACCACCAAAAATAATTTCTTTCTGAACGAAAACTGAGATAAAAATAAAAATCACTACAAAGTCATTGTCAAGTAACATAACTATCATTGTGTAATGGCAGTTTTCTTTCTACAGACAAGTGCCTTAATAACAAAACAGTTGGTATTATATGCAGCCACATTTCTAAGAACAGTATGTATTGCATTGACATCACAGATTAAAGACTCAGTTACATCTTTACAGACATTACTAGAAAGTTATTTAGGAATAGTTCTGTAGTCTGTTTTACAACACAGCTTTACTATGAAACTAAGTAACACAAGTAATCTACATTTTGGCTTTAGCATAATGCTACAGAACATGACATAACAAAGAACAATTCTCATCTATTATACTGTGGGCAATACTGGCTGGTAAATATCTGGTTGTGATATCTGCCAGGCACATAAGGTCATACCAGAAATATTTTTTTTTTACAGTAGTTATACCACAGCTTAATTTTTCAGTCAAAAAGCAACTGATTCACAAATGAAGAGAACATTCCATAGAATTAATACTGCATGTAAGGCATATGATTTTAATTGAATTCAAGCAGAAGATTTGATTTGCAGCAACAGGTTCAAGATTAGATTACAATAAATTTCAGGATTTAAAATGTGTGAAACTAATTCCACAATAGTGGGTTTCTTCATTTGAAACAATTTTCAATTCACAACCACATAAAATTAAAAAAAAATTCAGAGTGGAAATAGCAAGTATGCATCTTAACACCTGCAACATGATTAGTTTTTGACTGCTCCCAAACTAAGCTTTATAACCTCATTTGTTGTTTCAGCTCACTTCAACATATTCCACTGGCAGACACTGCATTGCTCCAAACATCTCAGTTCATAGTTCCTGTCCATACTGGACAATGGTAACTACACAGAGTCATTTTTAATATTCTTAATTAAGATCTCAATTTCACATCTGAGTTCTCAGCTTAGTGAATGCCTTAAGCAGTTGGATCATTTACCAGGTTCTGCATCTTGGTGTAATGAGTACCAAAAAGGGTTTCGTCATCCTATGACAGCATGCTCAGAAGTGAACATGTTCTCAATGTGCTCTGACTTTCTGGGTTCACACCAGAAGCAAAGAGGGAAAAGCAGCTCAACAACCGTTGCTTACACTTAATAGCAATTTCAATGAGAAATTAAGTGTTTGCTAGCATTATTTGGACAAGACTCCTAATCACATGGTTTAGTTTAGGTAGTCTTGCAAAGAGCAGGGAGTTGGACTTGATCCTTTTTGCTCTCTTCCAACTCAAGACATTCTATGACTATATGAGTTGGGAAGTCATGTAATTTTACTGGCATCTCATCTGAACATTAGCACCTTTACACAATCTCTTTGGATTAGGTAGTCTTTGATTATTTTTTTCCCTTTTTCTTATTTTTTAAAGCTGTCGTCCATAAATCAAACTAAGCTTCCTAGTCAAGATACTTCCTTCTGTCAAGGTACTCAAATGTACTCCAATTCCAGATTAGAAATCCACACTCTATTGAAATAATCAGGTGCTTCACAGAGGTCAAACTGCTATGCACGCTGAAAACATTTCCTGTGCAAACCAGTGTCAGTTGCCCCCTGACAAAGTAGTCCTTGAATACTCTCAAGGAGGTTTTTTTGCTGTCCTTCTAAAGACATATCAGACTCTTGGTGAGAGGAGAATGAGACAGAAGACTACAAAGCAATTACTCTGCACTGCTCTTCATCATCCCACTCAGACCAAGCTTCATCAACCCAGATTTTTATGGCAGCTCAGAAGTGGCTGGCAGAGATGCATGTGTGATGAGGAACAACAGCTGTTCAGCTACATCACGAGGAGTTTACAGGGAAACAATCAATGACTTAATTTTACTATGTACTATTTATTCAACTCCTTTTGGAAGAATATGTAATACCAGAGGCAGCATCCTGCTTTTCCTAGACATGAGAGTGGCTGGCATTCAAAAGGGTATTTTTAGTAGTTTTTTAGGGAGAAGACAAACACTCAGATACAAAAGTCCAGCCCACAAGCAAGAGAATGCTTTTCCTGAGACTCACTTTTCTACATATCATTGGACCAAGCTGGAGTACTGCACCGGATGAGGGAAAAAAGAAACAAATCCACAAAATACTGATCAAAAGAGAAGCAAAGCATAATAAAATTCAGCAGATAAGCCTTTTTTGCTCAAATGAGAAAATAAAAATTCCCATAATGCTTAGTGATTCCTGTTCCTCATGTATTCTAGTATCATCAGTACCTACCGTGATCTTCCTGTAGACAGCCATGACATTATCATCATCAAAGGGAAGAAAGCCACACAGTAGAGCATACAGCAGTACTCCCATACTCCAAATATCTGCCTAAAAAATGAAAGTGAGAGTTCACAAACCTCATCTGTTTAAAATTATGATCTATCATTGTCACCTTTTGGCAAAGCCCACACGAAACTTGTGGAAAGAGGTTCCTTAACTCTCGACAGAACTCTTATAGTCCAAGTTGTTATGAATGAGGTCCCTATATGTCCAATTTAATAAAGCACAAAATTAAAATTTAGCAACTATTTTAATTGACCAGCAATTTTATATAAAATAATACAATTGAGTAGTTATAAAACCAAATTTGGCAGTGGTTTGGATAAAGCATAAGCCAAACCAATCAATTGGGGTTCGACGGGGAGGGCTTCCCACCCTGCCTCACATACAAAAGGCAGAAGAATCCAAACACAACTTATATACTGTATGCTAATACATATTCTTCAATATGTTCTTATAAATCTCCTCCTATTTTTGATTCTTGAAATCTATGTCACTATACTGCATGGTGCATGGTCCACTTGGAGCTACTTCTTGGCTTTTCGGTGCTCTTTTCAGAAGAAGGCTCACGCTCTTCCTCACTGTCCTCTGAATAACCCAGCAAGTTGTGCATGTGCACTAAGCTTTGTATTATGTAAGTAAGCATTATGTTCCAAATAAGTCTTATTATTTCACAGATATGACCACTATTTTAAATTCCTTATCTGGAACTGTCCCAGTTTTATTCATCTCGAGGCTGATCCTGTCTCGGGAGTCATCTTGACTCTGTTCATCAATGCCAATTCTGCTCTGGAAGTTTTCTTAACTTTATTCATCCTAAGGCCATTTTTTTTTCAGGATATTGCTTATCTCAAACACTCCATCTTATACCCTATTTTCTCATAAACATCTGAAAACATCTGTTTTGTGACACTAATTACATATCATTTTTCTCTATTACTTTTTAACAAATATTTTCTAAAATATCAATATAGTTACAATTATTAGCATGAATCATATTCATTTATCACACAGGGAAAGCACACAATTTTCAATTCACTGAAACTAGAGCACTATTAAAACCATTACTCTGTTCCTTAGGTCACGAAATTGCTGCATTACATTCAACCTACAAGGAACTCACTGACAAAAAGGAAATCCAACTCATCTGAAGGGATTTTGTACGCAAAAGTATTTGTGATTATGACAGCTGTCAGTACAGTAACTACCAGCTTTAAAGCCTCACTGTTACTTTTCTGTATAGACATGAAAAGGTCTACTTGCCTCATACTGCAATTCCCAGTTCAGTCATAAAGATAAAGGAAGTTTGAGAAGCACTGATGTGGAGACCCTGGGGGACATTTCCCTGCTTTAGGGAGACACAAGAAGCTTTCCTCAAAAAGCTGTCAGACTCCATTTGATGGTTTCCCTGTTCCTACGTCTTCTCCTATGGCCCTGAGCCACACCCTCCCTATTCCCTGACTGGCCCTCATCTTTGTACTGCCCAGAGGCCAGGTTCACACCCTGACCCCTCCGGACAGGGTAGAGAGATCTGGGAGATGGGTGTGCTGGGGGAATGCTGAGCACCTCATGGGGCAGCTGAATTAAACATCTGTGGATACCATGCAAAGACCTTTTCTGCTTCTTTACCCTGGACTTTACTTGTAGCAGTTCAGGCTGCAACACACTGACTTTGTGGAAAACTAAAAGAAAGCAAGAAATAGAGGTCAGAGACAGTGGTGCAAAGGAGGTAAATGAAAAAAGACTGACTCCATACAACAGCACAGATAGGAAGTTCGCGGAGACTGAAATTGCAGCATTTTGAATTGACATGTAGCAGACCCCAATATTCTAGACATCGAATCAAAGCAGAATAAATGTCACAGTTTTTGTTCTCTTTAATTTTACTACACTGCACAGTACAAAGAATAAGTTTTCCTAGATTTCAAAGGCAAAGTATACAAGATACTGAGACCACATAGAAATTTGCTACAAGAATTGGAAAACTAACAGAACAAATTTCTGCCTGGAATAATGTGGTAGTTAGGACAGTGAAGAATTAGTCAAAGATGAAAAAGTCAGATGCAGAACCTGTGGTCAGGAGCTATTCCAGGTTGTGACTGCTCTCAATCACAGTGAGCACCACTGAGGCAACATGACATTGAAGACAATATGGGAGTAGATCTGAATCTCACCAGCTTTAAATACATGGTGCACACAGAAAAAAAACACCCTAGCCCATAATTGTATCACCTACCTCTGAGCCAATGTATGCTTTGCCCTGAATCAGCTCTGGTGCCGCATAAGCTGGGCTTCCACAGCAGGTGTTCAGATGGTAATCAAGGCCACCCTAGAATAAGACAAAACTGATGACAAAGAAGCACTGGCTCTAGGAGTAATGGTGTCTTCTAGCAACAACATATCAGAGGCCTCAGAAGCTTCATTTTCCAATGCTATATACAATCATCTGACATTTTGCTTTGACATAATAATTGGCTTCACCAGGCAAAAACTGTACAGGACCAGGAGAGTCTTATAAATGTTTAGATCCCAAGCTGCTCCTTCACATATTATCCCAGCAGCCTTTTTCGCAGCTCCTCCTGTGATAGGAATACTTCCTTTTGTGACCAGAAAGAAAACAGATGGAACTTGGGAATCATTAATCCAAGAGCTACTGGGCATGAAGCTGGTTGGATATTTTGATAAATATTTAAGGCAATAACTTCATGAAAAGCCACTAAAATGCTTCCTTATTAAAAATGTGTTATTCCTTAGCCTGGGTTTTGTTTTAAGTAGATCAGTGTGAGATGACATTGAACCACCAAGATGATGGTCTAATACTCCCAATTTCCTGCAAGGTGCTTTAACTTGACTCAGCTAAAACAATCTGTGGACATTGGATCAATAAGATCTTCTTTCCATTAAATTCCTTCTTCCCAGCACCCATCTGTGAAAATGACAAACAGAGCAGCATTGTAGAAACAAACTTTAAACTTGTTAAAGAACTCGGTACCACCATGTGGATCCAGAGGCTTTGTAAAGGTAAGGGGAATCTATTTGATTTGATCCACAATCTACACATAGACAAATCCTATGAAAACTACACAAGCCATTGAAAATTACTGGGGGCAAATGGACACCAAGATAAGCTTTACAGTGCTTTGTGGGAGTAGATACTCTACACACAAGTAGATACACACATGGCAATCTGTGTCTCATACTGGGATGAAAGATGAAGTGTAAGAGGAGAAAAACGGATATTCCGTGCAGTAAGTGTAAAACTGGCTCACACTGTTAAGGCCATACCAAGCAATTAACAGTGGGACAACTGCACCAACAGCTCAAATTCAGGGCAAGGCTCTGCACTGCACCCTGAAGTCACGCCTGCCATTTTTAGGTGTGCACTGTATTTGCTTAAACTCTGCTATGAGAGCCACTGACACCCTTACCTTTGGCTTTGCACAAAGTCCAAAGTCTATCAGCTTCAGATTATGCTCCCCATCAATCAGCAAATTTTCCTAGTAAAAGAGAAAGTGGTAATGAATTCTTACATAATGCCAAGTATCCAAGAAACCACATTTTCTTTCACCCTATTTCTTCTTCCCATTACCAGCCATAATTTACCTGAAGCTCTTCTCTGGATATTTTGGTCTGTTGCTAATGAATATATCCTATATTCCAGATAGGGAATACAAGCTCCTACCTCCTCAGAAAGGCCTAGGGGGTTGCTACACAGAAAGCAAAAACTGTGAAGCAGCAGCCTGCCCTGGCAGAAAATGCAGCCAGTGATATCCCAGATAGTATGAAAAGAAGCAGAGCTGGCAAAGTGGGAGAAGCCATTTGCCCTCTGTTCACCACAGTGAGAACAGTACATTCAGTTTATGCCCACCCTCTAGCAGATGAAAGACACCAAACTGAGGTAAACTCTGTGGATGGAAACCAGCCTGTCCAAGGTGCTGGAGCACTTTTTCCATGAGAAAGCTGAGGGAAAGATGATTTTTCAGCCTGTAGGTAGGTGAAAAAACTTCAGTGGAGACCTCATGGCAATCTTTTCATTCCTATAAAGGGGGTGCAGAGACAGCATCAGCCCCACCAAAGAAGCACACGGTGTGATAATGACAGTTAATGAGCCTCAGGAGACTTTCAGACTGGTACTAAGAAAATGCCTTTCTCATAAAAAACAAAGTGAAGATCTTAACAGGTTTCCCAGCAACATTATGGTGTCTCATCTTAGGGAGAGGTCCAAGATGTGAATGGATGAAGAAGTTTGATCTGACATTGTTTTAAACAGGAGATAAAAGCAGAAGCCACTAGAAGTCAATTCCCAACCAAGTTCTCTCACAATCCTATGAATCCATCAGGTCTCCAGCTACAATCCAAATCTTTCCAAGAGGGACACAGAAGGCTTTGCCTGGAGAGAAGCTCTTCGGAGACAAGGATTTCATAATCTGTCTAGTAAAATGCATGTACGCAAAGAATTTGCTTTTCTCAGTTATCAGTGTCTCTAAACATGCAAACTTCTAACTCCTTCTAGGAGAAATAGTCTCAAGTCTTCCATTCCCTAAGCCCATGCTTAATTCCTGTGGTGATAGCAAAGCCACAGGATCAGTGTTTTGGCACATCCCTGTTCTGTCCTTAATTGTTTACAGTGCAGGAGTCACATTTTCCCTTAAATGTCAGAACAGAACAGTTTGCACAATAGAGAGGAACCCTAAAGCTCTCCCTGGGTACATGCTGGAATAAAGGGGATAGCAAAAATGCCTAACCAGCAGTCAAAATCAAATCTGTGTCTGCTCCACTCTCAACTGAAGTGCAATATTCTGCTTTTCTTCCAGAGGAGGTTCCTTCCTCAGATACAGCTACATCCAGCTCAGTTGAGGAACAAAGCAATAAGTAAAAATAATGCTTTTTCAGCAAATATTAACTAAAAGCTCTAAGCACAGGAGAACAGAGAAGACAATTCACACCAGCTCGATTCAGAGAAATGAAAGTGGGTGTTCACTATTATTTATGCAAATTCAACTACTGTTTTGACTTACTGGTTTGAGATCCCTGTGGGCATATCCCTGACTGTGCACATATGCAATTGCTGAAACAATCTGCCGAAAAAATATGCGAGCTTCCTCCTCGGAAAGGTGATCCTTGGAAATTATGTAATCAAACAGTTCTCCTCCAGGACAGTACTGCATGAAAGCAGGAAAAAAAGAATACTTACAGTCATGAAATGTAAACATGAACAAGGGCACTGGACAGCAAGAAGGCACTCTTCTCTTTCCTTCCCTCTGCTTAATCCCAGCAGCACCCATGGGCATGCCCCAGGCATGCATGCAACAGATCCAACAAGAGCAAGAGCCCAACTCTTGCCTGATGCTTGCCACAGATATCTCACACTACCAGCACAGATGACAGAAACTGCCCAAGACATGACAGCTCAATGGCATTTCTCAGATCCCACATATCCTGCTGGTGCTGTTTTTTGGAGTGCAAGGTGGGAATAAAAGTCAGTTTGTTTATTGCAAACAGTGAAAAGTGGCTTTACAGTGAGACAGAATACATTATCAGCTTCATTTTTAAACTACAGCACCTTGGACACACTCATCATTGAGATTATTTTCTAAGAATTGTTCCATTTGGACTCTGATACCATCTACTGCTATGGCTAAACCCAGAGATTTTTGCTATAGCAGAAACACCATTCCTTACCTCTAAAACCATGAATATTTTCTTGGGTGTCTCAATCACATGATACAACCGGCAAATGTGCTGGTGACTCAAGTTCTTCATGGCATCGATTTCTAATTTAACACGAGGCAAGTCATCCTAAAAGATCACAACAGCAAGGTATGAAGTAGTTTGACAGCCTGTACCTAAAGTAAACCCGCACATCAGAACTGCTCAAACTCAAGCCAGCACCAGCTCTGTTGCTGCTCACCTGCCCTCCTCACACACTGGTCAGTAAAACCCAAAGGGGCAGATTTGTGCTACTATTCTCATCAGCACTCCATTTGACTTACAGTAGTTTATTTAGTTGCTTAATATTTAAAGCTGTAACTGTCTCAGTTTTACAGCCAGGGAACATTGGCCTCTTCATAGAAGGGCACAGGATTTGTGGTGCCTTTAAAATTCTTTCAATTTTACAGACTCTATCACTAGCCACAGTGACAGGTTGCACCTGCACTCCTGAGAACTCCACAGGAACAGCACATGACTAGCTCTGAAGTATCTTTTGGATTACCTGTAAAGCAAGCTTGTCCATGATTTTTATTGCAACTTTTTCACCAGTGAGACGATGTCGCGCAAGTTTTACCTTTGCAAACCCACCTAGAATTTGAAACAGAAATGTATAAAGTTCTGCATGGTGACAAGCTTTCTCACCTTGATCTCAGTTGCCCTGAAGTAAATACCATATGCACAGCATGTAGCATCATTTCCAGAGGAAGAAGCAATTGCTGCCACCACCTTCCAGTTAGTTCTACAGTTGCGCCCCACAAAATACACAGAGAAAACATGACCCACGGATTCTGAAGTAACAGTTAATCTTTCAGAAAAACATCGAGGTGAGTCCACATATCACACACACTTGTTTGCATTCACAGACTGAGCCCACCTGTGCCGACTGTTCCGTGTAATTCATAGTACTTGAGAATTTCCTCATAGTCATCTCCGGCCATTCTGCGACCCGCAGGACGCAGGCAGCTCTTCTCAGCACCTACACGGGGAGACCGCAAATTGTGCTTAGGCTTTCGTGCACAGGAAGCGACTCAGCAGCAGCCCCCGAGGAAGGCGGCTGCTGTTTCCACGGATCTGTCACGGCTCCCAGGCGACAAGCGCAGGAGCGCCGCGACCCCGAGTCGCAGCGGCAAGAAGACCTCGAGTCCCACCCCGTTTCTCCGGGCGCTGCCGGCAGGAGCCGTCCCGAGGCAGCGACCCCACAGCGGAGCAGCCTAGATAGTCCGTTACCGTTCAAATGTCCCGCTTCCGGCCGTCGGGATCGAAAAGCCAATCTCCGCGCGCCGCCAAACCGGAACGGGCGTGGAAGGCACGGGTATGCCGGGAGGGAGGCAGACGGGGAGGGCGCTGCCAGAGTGGGAAGGTCTCTGCTGCCGGCTGGCTGCTAACGGGGGCGGGTTCTGCCGAGACCAGTCCCTACGGAGACAGAAAACAGCGCCTGCCTCTTCCAGAAAGAGCGTATTCAGGAGCAGCGATCAGGACTAGAGCGGGGTCCGCGCCGCAGGGGATGGCGACACGCACAAGATGCCGGCCGAGGCCGTTGCCCCGAGGAAATGGTGCCTCCCGCCGCTCCCCGCGGGCTCTCCCGCCAAAGCCCCGGCCGGCCGTGGCTGCCATTCCCAGCACCGCTCCGGGGCGTCCTGGGGTGGCCTGTCCGATGCACGGTGTCTCTCCGGTCGGAGCAGCGCCGGGCAGGCGAGAGTCTCCAGTATGAGGTATATGTTTAGATGACTCTTAATAGACAATAGGTTCATTAATGCAGTATTGCAGCTTTGCTCTCTGCGCGTGAAGAAACACAAGACAGTTTGTACCCCTGTTTGCCTGCTATTTAAAGAGGCAGGAAACGTCAGGGATTGGAGGAAAGCATGAGAGGAGAAAGGGCAGGAAATGTGACGGGAAGAGAGTGGGAAACATGACTGGAATAAGGCCAGGAAACGTGAGGGGGAAAGTGTGAGAAGCATGAGGGGAAAAGAGTGGGAAACATGAGGGGGAAAATGACAGGACATCTGAGGAGAAGAAAGCGCAAGAAAACAGTATGGGGAAAATGCAAGAAGTGTGTGTGGGGTAAGTATGGCAAATGTGAGGGAAAATGGGCAGGAAACATGGGGGGAAATTGGGTTGCAAAATCATAAACTCTTATCAAAATGTCCACAGCAAAACTAGCTTGTGTGGCTCCCTCAGGATGGAGGAGGCTTTCTTGGCCAGAGGAAGAGCCCTGTGACAGCTTCATGATGCCCAGTTTGTACAAAGATACAGAAGCCAGTTTTTAACTTTGTTTGTGTAGCAAGTGACAATAACAGACCACCACTTTGTCTTCAAGCAGGATTGTCTTTATTAACCACACTTGAGTATTTATATGTTACTTTTGTGTACAAGTTTTAGGATCAATTACACAGCCAACCAGTAGGAGAGAGAAAGTAACCACACAAAATAAGAGTAGAGCTGATGTTTCTAGCTCTTAAAATTCATCCCACATGCATTCACAGCCCAGTTTTCAGGAGTGTACATCAAAGCACAGGTATTTATGGATGTATTTGATCCTTTGGTATGTACTGTCCTGTTGCAGTCATGCTGGCATGGTAGCGTGGAGGAAGGTTTTAGAAAGGCCTTGGGAATGGTAAACTGAGGAAAAGGATACATTCATGTATGCCTCATTGTATTAGAAAGGCCTTGGGAATGGTAAACTGAGGTAAAAGATACATTTATGTATGCTCCACTGTTTCGGGAAAGTCCCGCTTCAGCATTCCTCTGTAGACCCCCTTCTCCCCACCCCTGAGCAGTTCCCATTGGACCCGGCCCCTGGGGTGGTTCTGATGTGCCTTAGCTGAACACTGTCTCTATTGTTTAAGACCTTATCTCTTAATTTTGCTGTATAAAACTGTATCTGGGCAATAGCCCAGGGCCTTTGGTCACTGCAATGCTTCAGGCAATACAATCTATCTGGACAAGCATACCATTGGTCTCTCTTGGTCTCTTTATCTCGAACCCTAGCGGCGACTGAGGCAGCGCCGCAGCTCGGACCGTGCTAACCCAGACGCTGCCTGGTAAGCCCAGGCAGCGGGACCGCGGAAAACCCCGGCCCCGGAGGGGACAGCTAGCCGGAGGGTCCCGGGGGGCCGGGGAGGGACGGGGGACAGCGGCGAGGAACCCCCAAGAGCAAAGCGGCGGTCGAAAGAGAAGCAACACTGTCCCATGGATGAAGAGCTGTTAATCAAGGTCAGGACAGCCCAAGCAGGCTGCTGCTTCTACAGTCTGTCAAATTATTTAAAAGGTGAGAAATGTGAGAGAAAAAGGACAGGAGACATAAGGTAAAAAGGTGTAAGAGGCCGTCTGAAGACCATCACTCATTTGCCTGCCGATTGCCATGAGCAAGAACTCCCTTCCCCCTCTGCAGTTCCGGCTTGGAGAAGGCAACAGTGCAGGTGCAGCCGCTGAACCGTTTACATTGCTGTTCCCAACAAGGCCCGGCAAGGACTTGGCAAGGACTTGGCGAAGACCCAGCGTGGACCCAGCACGGAGCGGCCTACTGCAATTCCTGCTTCACTCTCCACCCTTAAGCTGAATGAACTGTTGGGATGACTCTGGTGGTCTCTCACTGAAGACCCCTCATCTGCCTCACTACCACCGTGACAGACAGAGATCAAGAACCCTCTCCCCAAGGACTGAGACTGAGACCCTTACCACAAACAGTGGGGGGGGTGGAGAGAATGACCTGACCTGTTCTTCTCCAGTAACTTCAATGGACTTATTCTTCATTGTGTTTGTTCAGCCTGGATGATTTTCTGTAGATACACCTGTTCCCCCCATATAAATTTCAATAGACTCTCCTTGTTCTGCCTGTTCCCCCCTTTTCCCTCTGTGGACTATAACTGGACCCCTGGATTAGGTAGCACGTTGGAGACTCTCCCCAACACAACAAGACGGATCCCCATCATCCAGACCAGTGAGGACTCTGCCTGTGTTGGTAGCTATTCCCATCCCCCCTTCTCTCTCTCTCTCTCTCTCTATCCTTTTTATTTCTTTTCTGACCCCACTATCACATTTATTGTTTTGGCCCCTAATAAAGGTGCATTTGTTGTGATTAACCTGCTGTTTGTCTTTTGCACTTTGGGATCGGCTAACGAACCATCACGACACCCCGCTATAAGCAGATTGTGACAAAAGGTAAGGGAATGTGAAGGAAGAAAAGGGCAGGAAACAGCCCTGCCTGGGTGAACCACGTGCCAGCTGCCATGGTAGGCCCTCACTGCCATTCCATGCCATGTCCTGGGTTATGCACTCCTGTTCACCTCATTCCAGGTCACTCAGACTTCCTAGAGCTGTTTAAATCTTCCTTGGATGATCCATGCACCGGCTTCTCATCTGGTACCTGCTGAATGATGCCAAGTCCTGATGAGGCTTGAAGCTGATGCTCAGGTGTTCCTGAGCTCAGAAACACCCCTATTCAGCTCAAAGACCAAGACACATGTGTCCACCCAGGTGTCCTGCTCTTCTGTTTCTTCATGCCTCACAACAGGGCTTGTAGCCATGATTGTGACATTACAGAAAAACCTCTGGGGTGAGGCCTCCCAATGGCTAGGGGCCGTGTTCCTCACCCAGGGGGCCCTTCTGCCCCCAATTCCGTGTCCCTGTGGGGATCCACCAGACATCCTTGTCCCTGCATCCTGACAAGCAGTCCACCAGTCCCCTTAGTTCTATATTTCTGTGGAGATCCACCAGCTCCCTTTGTCCTTGTGCCCTCATAGGGACCCACCAGGACACCCAGTCCCCATCTTCCAAACGTCCCCCTTGTCTCGTCTCCAGTGTCTCTTGTGGAGTTGGAAGGAGTATTGGGACCCACAGGGACATCAGCCCCTCAGCTCTTTTTGCAGTACTTTTCTTCTCCTTTGCACACGTGACCTTTGCATTTCTTTTACTAAACTGCCACCATCTTGGATCTATGAGGTGTTTTCCATCTTTAGCACAGTACAGGCTCTGGCTGGGAAACTCCTGAGGGGCTA